AGCCCAGGCTGGCCTCAAACTCTCAGTGATCCTCTTGCCTCAGCATCTGAAGTGCTGGCAGTACAGGCTTGTACCACCAAGCCTGGCCCATTTGCCCATTTTTAATTTGAGTTTAATAAAGTGATTTTTAAATTTTATTTAAATAGCCGGTGGTGGTGGTGGCGCACGCCTGTAATCCCAGCACTTGGGAGGCTGAGGCAGGAGGATCGTTCCTGAGGCAGCCTGGGCTACAAAGTGAGCTCAAGGCCAGCCTGACTGCATAGTGAGACCCTGTCTCAAAAAAACAAAACAAAACAACAACAACAAAATTATTTAAATAATCAAACCTAGGGCCTCATACATGCTAGGCAAGCGCTCTGCCCTAAACTACACTCCTTCCCCTCTCAGTCCTTGCTACACTGAATGTCCTTCTCATTTCCTCTGCTCTTCTCCCCTCCCCTCCGCTTCCCGTCTCTCTCCTTTTCTCTTCCTTTCAAACAGTCTCATTGAATTGCCCACGTTGGCGTCAACGTTGTGATCCTCCTGCTTCAGTAGCTGGGGTTACAGGTCATACAAAAACCACATTCACCTGGAACCTTTTGAATGCTGGGAAAGTTAATCTGCTATATGTGCATGTTTTCCTGTTTATATTTCTCTTTCTCTCTTTCCTTTCTTTCATGTGTGTGTTTACTTAACCATACAGAAGTTTGAACTTATAGTGGCCTATACCTGTCATCCCAGCTAATTTAGATACTGAGGCAGGAAGACTGCAAGTTTGAAGCCAGCCTGGACAATTTATGAGACTCTGTCTCAAAATTAAAAACAAAGTAAAACGGGGGTTGGGGGGACTGGAAATGTAGCTCAGTGTTCCCAGGCTTCAGTCCCTAGTACCACGCACAAAAATATGTTTAATGATAATAAAGTGAAAAATGAAAAGAATTTAGGATGTAGCTCAATGCTAGGTCCAGTGTTCATTTCCCAGTACTAAAAACAAAAAACAGAGCCGGGCATGGTGGCCCATGCCTGTGATCTCAGCACTTGGGAGGCTGAGGCAAGAGGATCACTGCAAATCTGAGGCTGGCCTGGGCTTCAGGAGAGACCCTGTCTCAAAAAAAGAAGCTAAACTAAAAAAACATAAAGAAAAAAACCAGGGAGCTGGGGTTTTAGCTCAGTGGCACAGTGCCTGCCTGGCAAGCACAAGGTCGTGAGTTCGATTCCCAGTACCAGAAAAAAAAAAAAAAAAACAATGACAACAAAGCACTATATTATTCCGCTCTACCCCAGCCCATCCTAAATTTTAATATAATTGCATTTATTCAGCTTTTTGGTTTTTACTTTTCTATTATGCTTTAGAAAGGCCTTTTCATTCAGAATTATTCATGTTTTCTTCTAGTATGATCCAACTTTTTAATTCTTAGATCCATGTTGAATTCATTTTGATGTAATAAGTAACTTCTATATCTAGCATTATTTATTGACTAATCTTTTCCTAGTTTACTTGAAATATGATATAGTAAATTCCTAAACATACTGGAGTCTACTTGGGGCACTCTATTTGAGACAGGGTCTCGCTATGCAGTTCAGGCTGGCCTCGAACTCGCAATGATCCTCCTGCCTCAGCCTCCCGAGTGCTGGGATTACAGGCATGTGCCACCATGCCCAGTTTGGGGCCATCTTTTTCACTGTTAAACTTTTCTGTTCACTGTGCCAGTGTGACACTTCAGTCTGTGTCATCTGTTGGAATGGGACGTGAAAGAGATTGTCTCTCATGAGGGAGATTCTCCCCCTTTGTCATTGTCTTTCTTTCAGCATTTTCTTGGCTATTCTTTGCAGTCTTCCCAAAGAGCTTTGGAGTGATTTGCAGATGTGCACACACATTGGAAGCTGTCACCATCACAGTAGTGAGAGGAAAGTCAACCAGAGGCCCCTGGGAGCCTCCAGCCTGCCCTTCCACTCATGCAAGAGCTGAGAGCTCGTGCAGATCCACAGCAGGGAACCCTCGGGGATTTGTGGCGCCGAGGCTGAGGCTGAGAAGACCGCTTCCTGAAACTCAGGGCTCTGTGCTAACATACCGCATTGTATCTTCTCTTCCTCCCCTAGGGTATGAGGGACAGAATTTGGCAAAGATCCTCAAGGATTTAGAGATGAGCAAGGTGGTTCATATAGATCGATGGTCCGTGGAAGTGATACCCCAACAAAGTGAAGAAAAGAGTGATCCAGTCCCATTTCAAATAATCAATAACTACTTCTCCATCGGTGTGGTCAGTGGGCCCAGACACAGCGGGGAGGGAGGGAGTCGGGGTTAGGCAGAGCCTGGGGGACAGAAAGGGAAGACGGGGGGGGGGGGGGGGTAGAAGAGCAGGGGTGTGGGGGAAGTGAGAATTGTACAGTGGGGTGAGTTGCAAAAAGGAACCTGGGACTCGCTGATCCAGACTGGGGCGGGGCGCAGGGGACAGCGCTCCGGAGGGAGAGGCCGGCCTCTAATACCACACGCGCCCAACTCTAGGATGCCTCCATTGCACACCGGTTCCACGTCATGCGAGAGAAATACCCTGAGAAGTTCAACAGCAGGTGAGGGAGGGAGGGTTCGTGCATACACAGTGTCAGGGACCAGATTTGTGACCACATGTGACTTGGAGTGCTGAGCATGGGCAGTGACACCCCTAGGAAACCCCCAACCACAGCACCCTTATCCTCCTTGGAGCCGGGACGCTGGTGTCACTTGCCACGCCCACGAGCGCTGTGTGATCTGTCCCCTCCCTCCTGGGCCCTGTGTCCGGGCTGACACAGGATGAAGAACAAGCTCTGGTACTTTGAATTCGCCACATCGGAATCGATCTTCTCAACATGCAAAAAGCTGGAAGAGTCTGTGACAGTTGAGGTGCGTGTGACGAGATCCAACCCGACATCCTTTGCGGTGTCTCGTGTCCAAGTTACTCCCGCCAGACACCGCTGGGAACTTTCCACGTTCCTGAGCCAATATTGCTTTGACTTCCCAGCTAGCCAACCCTGACTTCCTGAGTCCTCAAGATACACTAGTCCCTTTTTCCTTCCTTCTCTCGCAAACCTCCAAATGCTGGCCTTCCCAGTTTTGCCACCTGATAGAGGGATCAGTCACATCCATGATTATGCTGTGAGGTGAGAACCTGTGCTCTCCCCAACTGGGCCTGTGCCCCCATCCCCTCAGATCTGTGGGAAACCGCTGGATCTGAGTGACCTGTCCCTAGAAGGCATCGCAGTGCTGAACATCCCTAGCATGCATGGTGGCTCCAACCTGTGGGGTGATACCAAAAGGCCCCATGGGGATATCTGTGGGATCAACCAGGCCTTAGGCTCTACAGCTAAAGTCATCACTGACCCTGACATCCTGAAAACCTGTGTGCCAGGTGAGAGGCCCACCTGTGGGAGTGGGCAGGACTAAGGGGAAAGTGTGGCTCCCTCTGGGAGAACCCTGCTCCTGCAAAACCTAGGTTCCTGTCTCTCTCCCCAGACCTAAGTGACAAGCGACTGGAAGTAGTAGGGCTGGAGGGCGCCATTGAGATGGGTCAGATCTATACTAAGCTCAAGAGTGCTGGTCATCGGCTGGCCAAGTGCTCCGAGATCACCATCCAGTAAGGACGACTGCAGGCCGGGGCCGGTGGGAAGGAGCGGGGCCGGAAGCGCCGCAGGTCATGGGAATGGTGAAGAGGGGTGCCAGGCGTGGTGGCGCATGCCTGTAATCCCAGCACTCGGGAGGCTGAGGCAGGAAGATCGCTGTGAGTTCGAGGCCAGCCTGGGTTACAAAGTGAGCTCAGGGCCAGCCTGAACTTCAGTGAGACTCTATCTCAAAAAAAAAAAAAAAAAAGAGGGGCTTTACTGGGAGATCTCCCTCAGTGACAAAGGGTCTCAAAACCAAACGGAGCTGGGTACGGTGGCGCACGCCTATAATCCCAGCACTGGGAAGGGTGAGGTAGGAGGATCAGCACAAGTTCAAGGCCACCCTGGACTACACAGTGAGCTCAAGGCCGGCCTGAACTACACAGTGAGACCCTGTCTCAAAACAAACACACACACTTGAGAAGCAGATTTCTGATACTCAGCTGGTGAGGAAATCAATCTTCCCCGATCTTCCTTGCCTTCCCATAGCACCACAAAAACCCTCCCCATGCAAATTGACGGGGAGCCCTGGATGCAGTCCCCCTGCACCGTGAGTATCACATACGCCTGCTGAAAACTGAACGCTCAGGTTCTGTGGACCCTAAGTTGAGGTCCACACTTTCCTGACCTCTTCCCGATGTCCTAAGCCTCCCTGTGCATCATTCCTCCCAGTCCTTCATTTCTCAGCTTCTGGCCTCCCTAGAATGCCCCCTCCGGGACCCCAGCGACCAACCCCCAAAACCCACATTTCCCTCCCCAGACCCTGACGTCCCCGCCCTAGGCACTGGGTTCTGCCTCTGATGTCTTCCGTTCCCTTCCAGATCAAGATCGTCCACAAGAACCAGATGCCCATGCTCATGGGCCCACCTCCCCGCTCTTCCAATTTCTTTGGCTTCTTGGGCTGAGGAAGACACCCTCAGCCTGCAAGCCGGCCTGGAAGCGACCTGCTCATCCCTGGACTCCACCCCCTCAGCTTTGTGTGTTGCTGCCACACCTTCCGGCCAGCTCAGGGGAGTGGTCCTCCACCCGTCCTCACAGTATTTATTATCCTGCACCGCCTCCCGCCTCCCATGTACACACACACACACACACACACACACACACACACACACACACACACACACGTTCAAAGTGCCTCATCTAAATAAAGTGACTTTTTCCCCTTGGGATATCTGTTAGTAAGTGATAACTCCTCTTCTTTCACACTTTCACTCCTTAAAAGACATTTATTCAAGAAGCCAGAAAAAAGCCGGGCATGGTGGCGCACGCCTGTAATCCCAGCGCTTGGGAGGCTGAGGCAGGAGGAGGTTTGAGGCTAGCCTGCGCTACAAAGTGAGACCCTGTCTCAAAAAAAAAAAAAAAAAAGCAAGAAAAAAGAAGCAGCCCCAGGTTCTGAGCGTTTATTTCAGGTAATAGTAGGCTCCAAGGGAAGACTGCAGAAACACAGGTGTCACTGTCAGGCGCGGGAAATCACAGCATTGGATGAGATACTCAGACCTGCTGCCCACTGAGGAGCGGGCTGTTCTCCCCGGTGGGGCAAGCGCGGAAGATCTGGGGTAGCCGCAGCCAGGGGGTGCTACCCTGCGGCAGCTGGGAGACGGGGAGGGCGGAGCCCCGCCTCGTCAGTCTGCGCCTGAGGTTAGGAGAAAGGGAAATGATTAGCAATGGGCAAAAGCAGCCTCCCTGTGCTTCTCCAAACGGATACACCCATACCCGGGCCGTGATCCAGGCCCCTCTTCTCAGCACCTGAGGGCTGCCCCTCTCTTATTCCCTTAGTGACCTCTGCTCATTCTCTGCCTGGATAAGCTCCCTGCTTTGAGGCCTCGGCAGCCTTCCTACGGGTACAGCACTCGGCTCGCCCCGGCTGTGGCGCTCTTATACTGACAACAGCGACCCTTGCGCTCTTGCTCCCTACCAGCTGGCTTACCTGCACCGTTCCTAACATACCAGAAACAGCAGGTACGCGTTGTCCCACTTCCCACAGCTCGGAAAGTTTAAGCTACTTCCCCAAGGTCCCACAGCAACACCAGCCCAGGCCTAACTTCCAAGGTTGGGCTCTTTCCTGGTATTCCGCTTCCTCGGAAGGAGTGGTAACCCTGAGGGTGTAAAAGGGATTCGATTCTGGGCTGGACAGGGAGGGTCTCACCTGTATATCAGAGATGCAAGCACCACGGCCATCAATGCCAGCAAGATGCCCACAAGCAGGGGAACCTGGCCAAGGCCCGCTTCTTGACCTGTGAGCAGAAGCGCAGACATTGCTTTACCGTCTCCTCCCTCTGTCAGCTCTTCGTACGTCTTGTGCAGTTACTTACCAGGCATGACAAGCTGGGTGCTGGCCACTGCCAGGCTGTTGGCATCAGCCAGAGACACATTGAGGCAGTAGGTCCCTGAGCCACCTTTTAAGACCTGGTGCAGTACCAGCTGGCAGGCTGGGCTTGGTGGCACGGGCTGGCACAGCCGCTGGGTAGGGGGCTGGCACCCAGGCGATGAAATATCCATACAGGCTTCCTCGGGCAGCCTGGAAGAGTCCATACAGCTTTCTTCAAGGGATCCAGGAAAGGCATCGTCACCCAAAAGTTATGGGGGCAACCAGAGGGACACTCACCCGCCTTGGCAGGACACAGTCAGCTCAAAGGCGTCACCCTCAGCGGACGGTACAGCCTGCAAGATCGCTGCGTTCTCAATACCCTCTGCAGAATCACAAGACCGTAAGTCAGGCCTCATCCACCAGGCTGGTAGACGGAAAAGCCCCAGCTGCTCCCCGGTCCCAGCCCTGTGCCTTCAAAGGAGGACGCTGCACAGGCCTCCCTTCACCAGCCTCCGAAGTAGCCAGGACTCACGGATAATGTCCAGGGTGAGGGAAAAGGAGCCGTATCGATACAGAACACAATTCAGCGGCACTTGTCTCTTCACCAGCCTTAAGGTGTCTGTGCCAATCAGCAGGGGGCTCGCGGACGCTGGCAGGAGAGGGTTGAACACAGAAGGTCAGGTGACAGACAAGTCCCTTGGAGGAAGCGGTCAAGCAGGCGTTCTTCCCACACAGAGCCAGAGCTACTGGATTCTAGAGTTAACTGCCTTAGACCAGGCAAGATCTGGAAAATTTTGCTTTGTAGATAAGGAAATGGAGACCAGAAGCAGAAAATTACTGCTTTAGGGAGTCACACAGTTTGGGGCAGAGGTTTTGTTTGTTATTGTTTTATCTTTTTGACTTTTTTTTCTGTGGGGGTGCCTTTTTTGTGGCACTGTGGATTGAACCCAGGGCCTTTGTATTGAGTACAATCCAAGCCCTTTTTATTTTATATTTATTTATTTTTTTAAATCCCAGTCCTTTTTAATCTTTTTTTTTTTTTTTTTGAGACAGGGTTCGCTACGTAGTTCAGCCTGGCCTTGACTGGCCTTGAGCTCACTGTGTGGCCCAGGCTGGCCTCAAACGTGGGTCAATCCTCCTGCCTCAGTCTTCTGAGCACTGGGATTATAGGTGTGCACCACCATGCCTGGCTCCACAGCCCTTTTTAAATTTTTTGCCAGGCGTGGTGGCGCACACCTATAATGCCAGCACTCGGGAGGGTGAGGCAGGAGGATCATTGTGAGTTCAAGGCCAGCCTGGGCTACAAAGTAAGCTCAAGGCCAGCCTGAACTGCACAGCGAGACCTTGTCTCAAAAAGACCAAAAATAAATAAATTAATTAATAATTTTTAAATTTTCAGCCCTAGCTTCATTAAGTTGCCCAGTCTCAGCTCAAACTTTGTAATGCTCTTGCCTCAGCCTCCCAGAATGCTGGGATTACCGACATGTGCCACTTTTTTGAAATCCCCAAATGTTTATCACCCCTACACACACTGCCAAGTCCCGAGCTAGACATTCAACATATGTTAACTCATTTAGGCTGCATTATCTCATTCTTCCTGTTTTCCTTTGGGATAGGAATTTAACAGCGGGAAGTAGAAGGACTGAGGTCCCAGAAAGTTTTCTGTGTGTTTATGCTTGCACAGAAAATGTGATCTAAATATGTAAATGATTACAGTGTGTTCTCTGTCTTTTTTTTTTTGTTTTGTTTTTTCCCTCTGTCCTTCCTACTTCTTCTCCTCAGGGATAGAAAGTAACAAACTCCTAATCACCCAGGTGAAAACCCCAGGTTCCTGCACTCCAAATCTCTTGCATGTCATTAAGAGAAACTTGAAGGTGACGGCAAAAGCTGGTAATCTCAGAACTCAGGAGGCTGAGGCAAGAGAATTGCAAGTTTAAGGCCAGCCTGGGCTGCCTAGGGAGACGTAGGCCCAAAAGAGACCGACAGAGAGACAGTCAAGCAGGTGGACACTTGAGAGCTTTCGAGCCAGTGAGACCTCTAAGGAGATCACAGTGCTAAGCAAAGACTGGGGAACATCTAGGTCCTTGCTAAGATTTTCAGAGTATAGGAGTGACAAATACCTCGCCTCCGGGAGTGTCATTCACACCGTCCCTCTTACCAGAAATGCCTTCTGTAGGCGTGGACAGGCTGACTTCTGGATCCTCAGGCTCAAGCGAGGGTAACTCTCCCGCTGTGGTCCCCACCAACCCTGTGACTGCTGCCTGGGCAACCGTAGTTCCAGAGGGCTCTCCGGACGACGCCTGCGCCTGTGTCGTGCCAGTAGCTTCTGTGGCTGACGTCTCTGCAAGTGTGGTGCCCGTGCCCTGTGAAGTTGGTGCCTGCTCGGGTGTAGTACCCGTGCCCTCCGTGGTTGGCACCTGCACAGGGGCAGTACTTATGCCCTCTGTGGTTGGCACCTGCAGAGCTGTGGTTGCAGAAGGCTCTGTAGTTGGCACCTGATCAGGCGTAGTATCCACAGCCTCTGCAGTGGACATTTGCCCAGCGGTAGTGCCAGAGGCCTCTGTAGTTGGCCTGTGCCCCTCTGTGGTGCCTGGAACTGGGGAAGAGCCACAGGTGGTGAGAGGGATTGCGGCCTGCACCATCACCTGGGCTGTAACTGCACCGGACTCCAGGTAAGTGTGAGCGACCACAAGTGCCCGCGAGATCAGCGTCCCAGTACCGTCTCCAAAGTCCCAGGTGTAGGAGAGGTCAGCCCCAGCCAAATAGCCACTGGGGTCATGCAGCTGAAGAGCAAAGGTCAGAGGCTGATTTCTCAGGAAGCGCTTGTTCCCTTCATCCAAGGCCCGCAGCTGCGACACGCTCACGGAGAAAGGCACCTGGTCTGGGGTCAGAGCCAGAAACGGTGAGACCCAGGCCCACAGCTTTCCCTTTGACACCCACAGCCTCCGACCCCAAGCTGAGTGGCCGGGCCTGCACTGGCTCTAGTCCTACATTCCTCTGCCCAGGTCTTCTCGTCCTGCCCCTTGAAGGCTGCGCACCATTCCCCTTCCCCTTCCCAGTCCAGCCGAGCCGAGCCGAGCCTCCACTCTCTCCTGCCCTACGACTGGCCTTGCCCCGTCCTACCGCTTACCCGTAATGGTGAAGGCTGAGCTGGAGTGCGCAAGGGGCACGTAGCTCCGGGCCCCCCGGCGGTGGTAGACGGTCACCTCCATGGTGTGTGTGCCCAGCGCTGCCTGTCCTGTCCCGATGCTCAGCCGCGACACCGGGCCCCCGAGAACTTGCCAGTACTGACCTGAGGTTGTGGGAGAGCAAAGCAGGAGGGCGAAGCTGCCGGTGAAAAGGGACTGGGGGCAGGGCTTGAGAGTGAGTATCAGAGACGGGAGAGCAGGAAATACTAAAGCTGACACTTCAGAGGCTGTTTGGACAGCTATGATATTGGGGGGGCCCATGTGGTAGGACTATAATTGGGCAAGGACTTCTAGAAGGACTTGTGATAGTTTGCTAGAGCTATTATTATATTAGTTATCATTCTTATTAGCATGTACAAGGGCCTCCATTTGATCCCCAGCATCCCTGCGCTGCCCCCTAAAAATGAGAATTGAAGGGGGCTAGGCGCTGTGAAAGAGGAGGGCACCAAGGGGGAAGTAGGAATCGGGGGGACCTCACGTAAGTTAAGGGGTGAGACTGTAAAGACAGACGACCAGGCAGGAAGAAGTAAACACAAGCGTGCAGGTGACAGGAAGAAGGGAGCCCCTCACCCCAGGCCTTCCAGACATAAACAAAGCATCTTCTTGGAGACCTAGGGCCAGATGGGCAGGGTCCGCCGTCAGGGAAGACGCACGCATCGTCAGGTTCCTGGGGGTACACTGGCTGTCCTCCCCACATCTGGCTGCCTGGAAGATAAGCGCAGTGGTCCTCAAACCCTGGCAATCCTGTTCTCTGTGTGTGTGTGTGTGTGTGTGTGTGTGTGTGTGTGTGTGTGTGTGTGTGTGATACTCTGCATTGAACCTAGGGCCTTCACACTGAGCTATGTAACCAGCCTTATTTTTTTATTTTTTATTTTTTTAGATGGGGTGGGGCGCATCTCACTAAATTGCTAAATTGCCCAGGTGGGGGTCAAACTTGCAATCCTCCCAACTCCGCTTCCCAGAGTGAGTGCTGGGAATCTTACAGTTTTTTGTTTTATTTTTTGGTACCGGGAATCAAACTCAGGACCTTGCGCTTGCCAGGCAGGCACTTGTGCCGCTGAGCTACATCCCCGGCCCAGTGCTGGTTATTACAGGCATACACCGCCATACCCAGCTTTTCTTTTGTAGACAGTCTTTTTACTAAGCTGCACAGGCTGCCCAGGAATTTACAATCCTCCCGCCTCAGCCATCCGGATAGCTGGGATTACAGAAGTATGCCACCACGCCTAGTTCCTGGCATGCTTTTGTATACATCAAAATTCCTAAAGTAGTTCCCAAGGAATTAGCAAGGGGCTCTGGGAATACTCCTGAGCTAGAAAGTAGTCTCCATGGGAAAACCCACTTGGGGTAGTGGCTGGAGGTGGGAATATACGGAAACTACAATATAACATTCATATGTGTAGCCTCACGTAAGAAAGAAACTGGAAGAGCATATATTAGAACATTTACAGTGATTTTCCTTAACTAGTGAGATAAAAATAACAGCGCCAGCTAACAGAACAGCCCTATGCTGGATACTTTACACATTATCCTATTTTCACCCTCACAACGACCTTTCAAGAACGGGACCATCCCCATTTTACACAAAACAACAAAGCACAAGCCCGAGGTCACAGACCTGTGATAAATTTAAATCTAGTTCTGTCCAGCTTCTAGATTCTGCCGCCCCTCAGTTTGGGGACTATAATTTTCTTTTTGCTTAACTGTGTTTTCCAATTTTACTACAGTGAGTATGTACTACATGTACAATTTGTTTTAAAAAAATAGAAGCTGGGCATGGCGGCACACGCCTGTAATCCCAGCACTCGGGAGGCTGAGGCAGGAGGATCGTTGTGAGTTCGACCAGCCTGAGCTACAAAGTGAGCTCAAGGCCAGCCTGAACTGCACAGAGAGACCCTGTCTCAAAAATAAATAAAAAAAGAAAGAAAGAAAGAAAGAAAGAAAGAAAGAAAGAAAGAAAGAAAGAAAGAAATAATAAAAAAATTAGGGGGTGGGTAGGCCCCACTCCCTGGGCTCGCTGGGCCTAGGAAGGACAGAGACGCACTTACCATTGATGACAGTGTTGTTGGCCCAGACCACCTGCCCATCCGGCAGCACCTTTTGGCTTTCAGGGAAGTGCAGGACAATGGAGAAGGAGGCATTCGCACCAAGGAGCGTGGGCCCGTCATTACTGACCTTTGGGGTCACCTGGCCCCCTGGAAAGGGAAGCTGTGTTAGCTGAGATCCCTTGGCTTCCCCTCCCCATGGATCTTTCCCTTCCTGTCTTCCCAAGCGGCGGCGGGCCTTCAACCCAGTTCCTGCTCTCCTCCCAGCCCCTCCCCAGCAAGCTCTCCCCCCAGAACCTCCAGGTTCCCACCTCTCCAGCAGTCAGGCCCCTGGACTCCTGTCCAGTCTGGATACAGCTGCTTGTTCCAGGCTTTAGTTCGGAGCTGCCTTGAGACCCCAGGCCAGTCCTGGTCTCTGGGTCCTAAAGGAATGTGCCATGAGGATCCTAGGATCCCCGCCTAGTCCCTTCATCCTCCCATTCAAAGTACATTCTAATTACTGAACATCCACCACATACTAGGCACTATTCTTTTCTTTCTTTTTGGTTTTTTGAGACAGGGTCTCGCTATGCAGTTCAGGATGGCCTTGAGCTCACGTTGTAGCCCAGGCCGGTCTCGAACTCACAAAGATCCTCCTGCCTCAGCCTCCCGAGTGCTGGAATTACAGGCGTGGGCCACCATGCCCAGCCCAAGTCATAGGCACTATTCTAGGCACAAAGAATTTAGGGAATGTATAAGCTATGGCTCTGAAGGGACTCAGAATGAAGTAGGAGAAATGAGCATGTAGCTGGGCGTGGCGGCGCACACCTGTAACCCCAGCACTCTGGCAGGCTGAGTCAGGAAGGTCAGTCTCTAGCCCAGGCTGGACAACCTAGTAACTCCCTGTATCAAAATTAAACAAATAAATAGGGTTGGGCATATATCTTAGGCCCTGGATTCAGTCCTTGATATAAATTTAAAAATGAGCATCTACACATATTACTATAATTCAAAGCACTGCTTAACATGTGACATAATAAACCAGGTGTGGTGGCACACGCCTGTAATCCCAGCACTCGGGAGGCTGAGGCAGGAGGATCATTGCAAGT